AATCCCCCTCTAAAACTGAATCCAGATCTCGTGTTACTAAAGCAGATGAAAACGAAAAGTCTACCATATGATCTGATAATGAATGCGGGTCAACAATGAGCATACCAAATGAAGCAAATATCCAGTAGAATGATTTCGTGAGGAGATATTATGAATGAGTGTTCCAGCTCTACATTGTTGATGACCTTAGGTGAAGAAATCGAAGATCTACCTGCGACGAAAGCTCTGATCTAACGGAGCGAAGATTTTTTTTTGGAGAAGTTGGAGAAGATGAATTCAGAGAGAGAGAGAGAGAGAGAGAGAAACCCGATGGTGTAGTAATCGTCGGCGGTCCATTCGTCACAATATATCTTCCGACGACATTGGATGTGGATTCCGGTGATGTGGTTTCAAACGCAAATAAGAGAGAGAGGGTGATGTTTCAGACTTTGAGTAACGTGGTGAAGGGGATGAATAGGTACCTACATGTATTTATTTATTTAAATTCTTTTTTCTAATTAGATAATACTAATAAATGAAAAAAAATGGAAAAAGGCATTATAGTCTTTTTAATGTGTGACAGGGATGAAAGACGTAACAAAACCATAACCTAGGTACGGTCCGAGTACAAAAAAAAATTTAGGGACCAAACTAGTAGTTTTATCCAAACCATAAGGACGATCTCAGTAATTTGTTCTAAAAGAATTTATTAAAATATCTCTTGTTTAAAAACAACAAATTAAATGAAGGACTTTTATAGAAACTTCTAGAAATATTATTAGGATAAACTAGTTAGATTTATTTAAAAAAAAAAAAGCTACTGAAATTTTTTATCCATTATATCCAAATTTTGTTTTTAAAACGCTACACAACACTCACTACCTTACTATAAATCTACACATTTTAAATAATATCCAATTAGTTGCTAAAATTAATGAAAATAATAAAACTGCATAGTTTTAAATAATATCCTAACTTTCCGTTAAAAGATTTTCATATTAAAGATTATTTACTTCATACTGTTTACATCTCCTATAGCACACTACTATAACCAGCTCTAGGTAAGTCGTGAACTTTTTACCTTGAGTATTCACATAATAGAGCTTTTGCACTACAATCAAGATGTTTTAAAAAAAGTTCTGTAACAATTATTGTTTATAAGCAAATAGGTCACACATGAAAAGACTAGGCCATCCTTTACCTACCTTACTTAATGTTTAATAATGTAAAAAAGAACTTTTAATTTGCTTTAGTGCACAAATTAGGAAAGAAATTGCCAAAGTGAGCAGGCCACAAAGGAGACCTTAAAGAATCAACTTTACTCTAATGTTACACTGTCCCCAGGCCACCAAAATGATAAATCACCTTTTCAGGTGAATATTAATCATGTCATATGAAGTGGTAATCCGCAATATAAACTCTAAGCTCTTTATGAGTTCCAGGAGATACTGAGAAAAGCTCAAGGAAAATGACAGGAGCTGGTTTTTCATGTGGAGCATGCAAGTTCCTGAGAAGAAGGTGTACAAATGAATGTGTTTTTACCCCTTACTTTTGTTACAGCCAAGGAGCTGATCACTTTGCAGCCGTTCACAAGATTTTTGGTGCAAGCAATGCCTCCAAGCTATTGATGAAACTCCCACTGCAAGACAGAAGTGAAGCTGCTATCAGTATATCCTATGAAGCTTTGGCTCGAATGCAGGATCCTGTATATGGTTGTGTAGCTCAAATCTTTGCTCTTGAGCAACAGGTAGCTAGTTTACAAGAGGAGATAGATCAGCTTTCGAATTACATTACTTATGTTTCATTTGGTCTGCCAAATTACATGACTTATGTATCTTCTGAGTTTAATGGTATGAGCATCAGTGATCATCTCAACCAACTGACTCCGCCATTGTTTGCTGCACCGCAAGCTTCTTCTCCATCCTTGGCTATTTTGGAGGGCCAAAATTCTCATTCTCACAGCCTTCTCGACCATCCACTCATGGAAAGCTTTTAATTTCATGGTGAACTTATTACTTAAGAGGCACTAGTTTATTTGATCAATTTGTAAATACCAGAAGTATGTTAGGCTTATCCTTCAGCGTATGCAAATAAATTGTAAAATACCTTCGGTAAGAATTATTATTATATTGAAAATTGTGATTAAAAAATACTTCTTGTTCATAAGTTATTATTAGTTATTATCACGACAAATTGTAATAAAGCCTCTAAGTTTATCAAAATTTGGATTTTGATACTATGTTTGGTTTTATCAATTAAGTCATTACATTTATAATTTTATTACAATGTCAACCAATTGCCCGGTTACCATCTCTTAAGGAGGTTACTAAATAAATAACATAAAAATATTATGATGTTGAAGCCGAGTGAGATCTTATATGGTAGGATTGAGTTTCAAATATATGGTTAGTATGGACTCCAATATCACGGGGGATTTTATTTACACCCGAATTTTGTGATGATGATCCTATTTGAAATGACATGGTTGACTATTCTCGACATTTAAATCCGTTTACCAATTGAAATTGTATTCTTATATTTTCATTTATTTCCCCTTTACTTTAATCCATTTAACCGATTCAAACCCACTGGTGTTACTTTTTTCCCTTTTAGTTTATCTTAACTAATATTTTTTTACATATTGTATTCTTTTATATATATATATATATATATATATATATATATATATATATATAATATTCAAAATTAAAAAGATTAAAATATATATAATATTCAAGTTGCATTATTTTTTTAGTAATTGATTGTTTTAACACGTTATTATTTTTATTTAAAACTATATATATATATATATATATATATATATATATATATATATATATATGGAAAACAAAAAAACTCTAAACAAAATAAAAATGCATAAAAAAATATTTAGACATCACAAATCTTTTTTCTTTTTGATTTTATATTCTTAAAAATCGCAGCTTGTAAAAAGATTAAAAAAATACATAACATTATTTATATGTTAGAAATAGAAAAAGGATTAAAACAAAAAACAATATCTTAAACGAAGGATCAGATCATACATGTAAAATTTATTTATAGACGAGACGGATTATTTTTATTTAAAATTACAAATAAATATATTAAAAATAAACTAATAAAATATACTATGTTATATGTTTTTGTTACAATATGTTTTCCATTTTATTTTTTATTTCATCATTAAAACAAAATAATATATGACATTATAAAATTATATTGTAAAACACATAAAATGAAAATGAATGATGAAATTATAGACATTAATTTAAAAAAACAACACTAAAATGAATTAACTTTTAAGAAAATCAAAGAGGAGAAAACATAAAATAATGTATAAATAATGATATTAATTTTATTTAATGGATTTAATTATTCTTGTAGGTAACGAGCTTGGTGGGATATAAATTTAACGTATTAAATGTCAAAAGGAGAAAAATAGAATGTAGTATATAAGTAAATGATCTCACTTTGACATTCAGAGCACTGGGCATAAATCACATTGTGTTAGCATCCGCAGGGACCATTGCAATACTTTGTTTTAATTAAACAGTCTGAGTTGGCTGTACCAGTTCTGAGTTGGTTGTTTGACGCCCGAGGAAGGCCCCCGAAGGAGCCGTTCCCAGTCTGTCCCCCGACCGACACGCAGTGACCCGCTCTCGCCGCGGAAGCAGCGAGAGCAGTCCGCCAACAACCGAAAGGTTCGGGATTGGGATCCCCTACCCAGCCCTCAGAGCCAATCCTTTTCCCGAGGTTACAGATCCATTTTGCCCTCAGAGCCAATCTTTTTCCCGAGGTTATCGATCAATCAAATTTAAATTAAATTGAATGACAATTATCACCATTTAAAATAAGTAGGAAGATAGTAGAAACAAAAAAATTAAAAGAATAT